TGGTATTCTGCCTTCCTGCCTACTGCATCTCTGCATGCCTCAAGAGTTGGCTGTTACCCTGAGAGCTGCTGTTGCCCTGCCATCTTACCACCAAATGTGTATCCATGAGACTGTGCACTACAGGCCTGTGATCTTCCTGCTTCCAAGTTCATCTTTCTGTGACCACATATGACTATATGAGTCCACTATTATAAGATTTATGGACATGAGTTGGACCCATGAGTAGGTACATGAGTAGGTATGTAACACATGCTCCTACCAGTAAAATTATTGATGCAGAAATTAAATTATTCTATGAACATCTTCAGTATACAATTGATCAAACATATAATCAAAATGTATTGATAATTATCTCTAGTTTGAACACAAAACTTGGACACAAAAAAGAAGAAACAGTACGTGAAAATATGGTCTTAGTGATAGAAACTGGAAATCCCATGATAGAAGTTTGCAGCACCAACAACTTCTTCATCACAAATACTTTTTTCAATAACACAAACAACAACTATTCACATGGACCTCTTCAGGTGGACTATGCAGAAATAAAGTTCACTACATATGTAGAAAGAGAAGATAACGAAGCTCCATGTCCTTGGCTACAGCCTGGCAAGGAGATACTGGTGGAACAGACCATCAATTGCTCAAAAGCTGAAAAAATTTAAACAAGTCCACCAGAGCCAAAATATGACCTTGAGTATATCCCACCTAAATGTTCAGAACATGGAGAACCAGATTTGATGCATTGAATGCTAATGGCAAAAGACCCGATGAGTGGTGGAAAGACTTCAAGAACATGATTCATGAAAAAAGCAAAAGGTCATTCAAAAGACAGATCAGAAATACAAGATCAAAAGGGATGTCAGAAGAAACTCTGAAATTTACTCTTAATCATAGAGAAGCTAAGGCAAATGGAAGAAATGATGAAGTCAAAGAGCTGAAAGTAAAGTTTCTAAAGAAAGCTTGATAAAACAAAGTAACAATGAAATGTGTAAAGACCTACTAGAGTTAGAACACCAAAAATTAAAAAAAACATGCTGAACATATCTT